ACTGATATGGACTTTGTTCTGCAGGACATTTTGTTGCCTTTTCTTTCCATTTTTTTATTTGTATAAGTGCAGTTCTGCTTCTGTAACCTGCTTGCAGTGCCCTGGGGAAGTGCTGATTCGTGATCATCCTGTAAGCAACTGAGCCCAGCAGCTGCATACCACAGATACTGGCCCAAGCCAGTTGGGCCAAACACTGGCAAGCATGAGCAACTGGGCCCAGATGCAGACTCCACAGGGCAAGATCGACCCAAGTCAGTTCAAACAAACTTTGGCAGGCATGAAGCCCCCTCTCCCCTCTGCCACACAGGCCCTATAAGCCTGCTGTGGTGCTTGTTCTTGGCCCCGAGCATGGAGTGCAAACTCCTCTGGGCGTGCTCGCTGAGTGGTGCTTGCGGAGTTCTGTTTCTGCACCACAACCACAAAGCCATGGGTGGCCCCATCATCTAGTTTTTATTACCCATTTGTTCAAATCTGTTTAATCCTGGTGTCTCAAGTAAAGATAAGTGTACTCTTGTTATCTGTCCAGGCCTCACATGTAGCAATGTTAAGTGCCACAGGGCTTCTGCTCCATTTTCTTTGTATGTTAAATAGGAATGGGTCAAAATCAGTTGTCTTGGGGCCAGCAGGTGGTGTGGTGGTTAAGGCACTGGACTCCCATATGGCCAACCATGGTTTGAGTCCTGGACCTGGCAGCTTGCTTTCTCACTTTCCCTTTCTCTCTCTCTCTCATGCTTGCATGTGCCCTATGTCAAATAAAAACGATAATTCTAATAAACAAAAATCAGTTGTCCTTCTTTACACCAATAATAAACAATGGAATTCTGATGTTAAAAATATAGGGACCAGCAAATGGCATGGTGGTCAAATGTTCAGGATTCCCACATGGCCAACTATGGTTCCAGTCCTGGACCTGGTGGCTTACTTTCTTACGGGCCCTTTCTCTCTCTCTCTGTCCTCTGGTCAAATTTAAAAAAGAATATATTTATGGGGCCAGCAAGTGGCACGGTGCTTAAGGCACTGGACTCCCACATCGCTGAGCTCAGTTAAAGTCCCAGACCTGATGGCTTGCTTTCTCTTTTTCTCTCTCACTTGTCTCTCTCTAATGAGTTCATGTGCCCTATAGCAAATTTTTAAAAATATTAATAAAATTAAATACATAATTAAAAACCAGGAATATTTTACAAGGACATCAAGGGAAAAATTTAACAGACATGAAAGTGGAAATTATCTGCTGAGGTTAATGTGTTTAGTAGTATCTTTCACTGGACTAATATACAATATTCATGCTGAGAAAATTCATTTGGTATGCTGTAAAGATGTACAGTAACTGGGCCGGCAGGTGGTGCAGGGGTTAAGGAGCTGGACTCCCACATGGCTGACCACAGTTGGACTCCCAAACCCAGTAGTTTGAAACTCATGCCAGGCATGCATGTGTGCATTCCCAAAATCTCAGGAGGAGAATCAAGGAGAAGGGATTATGGCATGGCTATCCCCCTTGGCTGGTATTGGGAGGGAGATTTCTCACTTTTTCTCTTACTGTCTCTTTCTCTCAAAAATCTTTGAAAAAGATGTACAGTGACTAAACGTAATAAAAATATATATTAAAATATGATATATATATATATATGTATGCATCAAAAAGCACATATGCTTAGGAATAAATCTGACAAGATATGTGTGAAATTTATACTCTGAAAATTAGAAAACACTGATGAGACCAATTAAGAAATATCTAACTAGGGCTGGCAGGTGGCATGGTGATTAAGGACGCTGGACTCCCACATGGCCAACCATGTTTCAAGTCCTGGACCTGGTGGCTTGCTTTCTCACTTTATCTCTCTCTCACTCTGTACCTCTCTGGTCAAAATAAAATAAAGTTAAATAAAATAATTCTAAAAAAGATATCTAAATAAGGGCAAGTCTGTGGCATGCTGGTTAAGGTGCTGGACTCTCTCATGGCCAACCGTGGTCTGAGTCCTGAACCTTGAGGTTTGAAAATCACACCAGGCACTTACATATGCATATCCAAAATCTCAGGAGGAAAATGGAGAAGGAACAGTGGCATGGCCATTCTCCCAGGAGGCAATATCTCACTTTCCCCCTCACTGTCTCTCTGTCTCTTTCCAGTGAGCACATGTATCCTGTGGCACAAAGCCTAAAAAAATTTAGAGATACACCAATTCCATCGATCAGTATACTCAAAATTACAATGCAGTTTTTAAAAATGTATTATTTTAAAATGTGCTATAGGGCATGTGTGTTACTCAGAGATAAGAAAGAGAGGGAGAGGAGAGGAGAAGGGAGGAGAAGAGGAGAGGAGAGGAGAGGAGAGGAGAGGAGAGGAGAGAAGAGAAGAGAAGAGAAGAGAAGAGAAGAGAAGAGAAGAGAAGAGAAGGAGAAAGCAAACTGTAGGTCTGGATGAAACTGGTCGCCCACGTGGGAGTCAAATGCTTTAACCACCATGCCATCTGCTGGCCCCACTTTTTTAAAAAAAAAAATGTATTTAATTTTATTAATGATCATTATTTATTTATTTTTATTTTCTACAGGGCACACACACTCACCTGAGGGAGAGAAAGAGAGAAGTGAGAAAGCAAACCATCAGGTCCAAGACTTGACCTGCAGTTGACCTTGTCAGAGTCCAGCACTTTAACCACCATGCCACCTACTGGCCGCAAGATGTCAATTCTTAAAAGAATTTACATTTGCTACAGTCTGCACTCAGCATCCTATAAGAATTTTTGTAGAACTAATAAGTGGATTCTAAAAGTTAAGTGAGAAAGTAAAAGATCTGAGAGAGCCAAACCAATTCAGAGAAGGAAGCACAGTGTGAAGGGGCTCACATGACCCGTTCCAAGGCGTCATCTAAAGCAGTATAGTCAAGGTGTGTGATGCTGAGGCAAGCATGCACGTGGAGGTAATGGCACACCAGAGAACAGAGACAGACCTACATATATATGGTCAGATTTTGACTATAATGCAAAAAAAAATCAATGGAGAACAGAGTATTTGCAACAAATAGTTCTTGAACCATTGAGTATCCTTATGCACCCCAAAAGCAACTTTCCACCCTTATTTTGTACTAAATACAAAAATTAACTCAAAATTTATTATAGATATAAATGTAAAACCTTAACATGTAAGATTTCCTTTTAAAAGAATCATTTTATTATCATTATTATTATTTGTTTAATTTGATGGGGGCGGGGTAGGAAAGCATGTCTTCAGGTCCTGGATTCGAACCATGGTCAGTTATCTGGCAGTCTAGCACCTTAACCACCACACCACCTGCCAGTCCCAACATATAAAATTTCTAAAGAAAATGGAGCAGGGGGGCTAGCAGGTGAAGTGGTAGTTAAAGGCACTGGACTCCCACATGGCCGACCACTGTTCAAGTCCTGAACTGGTAGCTTGCTTTCTCACTTTCCTTCTCTCTCTCTCTCTCTCTCTGATTAAACTGGGAAAAAATACTACTAATAATAATAAAGTTAAATAAAATAATTCTTGAAAAGAAAATGGAGCAGGTAATATTTTTGACTTTGGATTAAGCAAGTACTTTACGGATAGGAAGTTAATATTATAAAGCACACTTGCACAGAATAGACAAAGTATACTTAATCAAAATTAAACATAGGGGCATCCTCCAGGGGAGTGGCCATTCTGCAACCCCTTCTCCATTCTCCTCTTGGTATTTTGGACACACACACGCATGACACACATGCTGGATTAAGCCACCTTAACCACCACACCTCCAGCTGACCCAGAAAGGCCTTGAAAGAGGTGACTAAGGGGGCTGCAAATGGCATGGTAGTTAAGGTGCCGGACTCCCACATGGCCAACCATGGTTCAAATCCCAGACCTGGCAGTTGCTTTCTCACTTCCTCTTCCCCGGACCCCTGGTCAAATTAAAAAACAAAATTGTACAAACTAATTATTTAAAAAAAAAAAAGAGGTTACTAAGTCAAAACAGGTGTTAGGGTGGTGCTAATTCAACCAATGTATATAAGAACAGAAAGCTTGGGAATTCAGAGCCATCGGAGAGGCCCACACAGAGGAAAGACCACATGAGGCTCAGTGGGAAGGCAGCCACCTGCAAGGCCAGGAAGGAGGCCTCGGGAGAAATCTCGGTCGTGGACTTCCAGTTCCAAAGTCTGAGAAAGCACGCTTCTGTTTACGCCGTCTAGGCTGTGCTACTGTGTTACGGTAGTTCAAGGAGACCTGTACACTGCTCTAGGGATTAATTCAGTCACTGTATCACTTGGGAAACTGCCTTCCCAACCACTCAGGCTGCTTGTACGTATTTAACAGACACTGAGTTTAGCTTCCATTCCCTCTTCCCCGTTTCAGTTTTCATTGTACACCCTACTTAGTGGTGCTGGTCCTACCTAATAGTCTTCATTTTCTATATTCCTATAGGACACACATGCTCATGGGCTGGGGGGAAGAAAGAGAGAAAGTGTGAAATCACCCCCCACGGTGGATGGCCATGCAGCAATCCCTTCTCTTCTGTTCTCCACTCAGGGCCTTGCACGTGCATGCACGCAGTGTGTTCTCAAGTCTGAGATGCGAACCATGCGGCTGGCTGTGGGATCCAGCCGCCTCCACCTCCACAGCACCTGCTGGCCTCAATAATTTTATGTTAAAAGAGTCAGTGATTGATAAGTAAAGGGGAAAACTGTGAGCGTTAATGACAAGGATGACACAAATCTGTGAGGGAGAAACTCCCCAGAGGGAGGGAAAGTGATGAATCACCCCTAGGGCGGGGGGTGGTGGGGGTGTCAGCCATGCTGCAATCTCTTCTCCTACATTCTCTTCTTGGAATTTGGGTACTCACACACATACACAGGGTGTTTTCTAGAATCCAGATCTGAGACTTGAACTACACTGTCAGCCATATGGGATCCAGCCACCTTAACCACCATGTCACCGGCAGCCCCACAAAGGTACTGCTAAAATTTCTCCCATTCAGGGCAATTCTTCTGAGTCATGTCCCAACTCACCTGGTCCTTTCCTTCTATTGCCACCATCTGTCATGATCGGAAGTCTGTCGCACATTTCTAGGCGAGTCCTACGCTGCAGTCCGTGACAGGGTCTCTCCCAGTGTGTTCATCGCCCACATTTGACCATTACGTGGTGTGCGTGTTGAAAAACTCCACTGCATCTCATAAATATGCAAGATTAGTATTTGTTAATTAAAAATGACAGTAAATCATCTAACAGCACACAGTTAAAGCCATAAAAGGCGGAGAACAAGCAGAAGACGAAAACTAAGAATAAGCATCAGAAGCAGCACCGTAGGGGAGCCAGACTGCACGTGGCTGCGCACGGCGGGATCCTGGCCCTGAAGGGCTCCTCGGGTGCGTGCACGTGTGCGCTGAGACCCTGCCTGCCAACCACCTGTCGCTCCCTGGCCACCCGCCGGCTCCCTAGGCTGGCCCAGCTCTGCGGCTGCGCACACTCCTCGCAGCCTGTGCTGCACTGACGCCAGGGCGCTGCGAATTTCTCACGCGTAACG